GTCAATGTTAAACTACTTTATAGGTTATAATTTCTAGGACAACGTTACCAGCACAACGAAAATATTAGTAAAGGTAACGAAACAAACAAATTTTGTAAAGTAATAAAATGCAATGGACAAATTAAACATTTAGTGCAGCATTAATGCAAAAAAATAATTAACTGAATGTGTGAAATTTAAATACATATCACAATTGGAAACAGATAAAATAAATAATTATTATCTTGTCATAGCTCCATTATTATTAATAATTTTTTGTATTCTTTTAGGCACTGAGTTAATTAAATTTATTGATAAATTTTCATCTTCTGCCAAGCTTTCCCAGGTTTCTTCAATAAGGTTCCATAAATGTTCTTTGTTTTGGGGAGTTACTTTTAATTTTTCTAATTTTTTATCATAAATCCCCAAACGTTCTCAATCGGATTAATATCTACACTGTTAGAGGACCAAATTACCTTATTACTTTCAACAAGTTAATCGCAAATAAAAGCCAGCGATATGTATTGAGCAATTGTCATGGTGGAAAATAAAATTATTGTTGGGGAGATTACCCTAACCGATGGCAACACCACAATATTCAAATTTTTTAAATAGTTTCTCGCATTTAATTTTCCTTCGATTCTTCAACACATTCCTTTACCTCCTCTATACATCTAAACTGAAACATTTATAGAAAATCGTCCGGACTTATCATTTGTCCAATATGATGTGATTGGAACAATTTATCGTCAGAAAAAACTATTCGACCTGCTGTTGTTATTAAAGCATTTTGTTTTAACTTTTTTCAGTCTTGTTATATTGAGTGGATGCTCCTTTAAATAATCAGTTGTTTTATCTTGTTGTGCTGTAGTTATATCTGGTCTCTCGTTTCCTCTTTTTCTGTCCACAGTTTGATCGTTGTCCCTTTTCTTTTAATTCTCTGAACACGTGAGCCAGTCATCTAATAGACCAACCATCCGCTATTTTGGAAAGTACTCGCATTTTATCAAACTTACTTAAATGATCTGGCATCGTAGCAATGCGCGTTTAACAAACGACAAATTTGACAGATTGTCAATTTTAAACATAAGTTGGTTTTACATTAAGAAAAAAGTGTACCAGTTTTATATGACGCGAAGTGTACGATGTACTCCAATTGATACCTCTAACATACCTCAATTTAAAAACAAATCACAAATCTGCTTTACTGGTTGCCTACATACATCTGTGTATTTTAGTGACTCATGCATGGCACACCGTATTAAGTGTATCGTATATATTCGCTCATCATTGGAACTCCAAGTGGTAATAGCAATAGATGACAATGATAACGGTGACGATGATATTTAATTTTTACAAAGCTATGTGTGTGTAATTGGATTTTATGACTGCGAATATAATCCATTAGACTATTATTTATTTATGTTTTATTGATACTAAGTTAAAATGAGAGAATCATATGAAGTATTTTACAATTGTTTTTTCTAATACTGTTAATATATGGATACAAAAATTTTTCTTAATATTTTATAGAATTTTTTTATTCATTTGTTTTAATCTTGTTTTAAAACATTTGATGTTTTTTTGTTTTCTGTTGGTTTTCTAATTTTTATTTTCTGATTTGTTTTTTCATTTGTTTTTTGTTTTTACAAAGCTATCTAGATAGCGTTTAATTTTCCAATAGAAAAAAGTCACTTAAAAAAAAAAGATTGCTTAAAGTAATAACAGAATCATATTTTTTTTGTAAATAATAAAACTTATTTAGAAAAATAGAATGTGTGATTGCATGGATTCATTTAATAAGAATTATAACCAAACCGGATTATTATCTAACAAGCTTATTAGGAGTTCATGTTCTGTTTATAACTTTTAAAAAATTCCATATATCTATACACATCGAAATTGTATGGAAATTGCTAAATCGTGCCATTTTATCATTAACTTCACGAAAGAAAAGGTAGCATAAGTTAAATATTTGTTCAAAAATAGATGCAATTTTTGCAGCATTTAAATTTTTGTTGAAATGTTGCTACACGACAGAACTGTTTGTAAATGTTTATATTGACAATGGACCATGCAAATTTTATATTGAATATTTTTTGAAATGTTAAATAATTATTCCGAGTAAGTGCACGCTGCGATTGTATGCAAAGTAGCTTTTCGTGGTCCATTTAATAACAAAATTAAGGCTGTGAAAAATCATACGTTTAATAATTTTTCTTTATTACCTTATCTTTTTTACATATTCAATTAATATGCAGATCCTTTTCTAAGGAATATTTTTGTTTAATTTTAACAAAAAACAATTTTCATGCATTTATCAATCGTTCGAAATCATCCATTTTCATTAAAAATTCAAATTTGCTTGGTTGTATGCAGCACTCTTAAATAACACAGGTTCACAAAAAAAAAAGTCCGAACTATTTGACTGGACCATGGTATTCCTAGGTATTTTTGCGTCCTGAATCCGACCTCGAGCTCAGTTTTGCCCCATCACGTCAAAAAACCCATATTTCAAGGTCATTTAGAGGTTAAAATTATGCTTTTTCGGAACCGGCCCCGGGAGAATTTCTCAAGCGATCTGTTAAGTTGAGGGGTAACTGTCTAGGTTGTGAATACCTTCCAAACATTGGTCAGGGGATATAAAAGAGATGGAAAGACGCTACCAAGGTTTCTGGGACATTAACATGTTGGCAGATTACTGTTGGAACTTAAAGAGGGATACCAACAAGGGGCATAAGAGAAATGCGCTTAGAAGGAGTTTTGATCAAACCTGCAGACCCCATAAACAAGCACGCAAAGATTGAGAAATTGGGAGGGAAAAAAGTGATAGGCGAGGGGACTCACTATAAACAAGCACCCCGAAGGGAACAGTATCTGCAACGTCCCCGTCGTTGTTCCTGGGTAATGCTAATAGCAGAACTAAGTTTATCAGCAGACTCTAAGTCATAGTCGAAAATATTGTATGATAGCCACACCAATTCACTTGGTGGAATGTGACGTCTTATTGGTATTGAATTCAAATGGCCTGCCTCAGCAGAACAAAGGTAGCAAACTGAAGTTGCGGGTTGGGATCCTCGGGCCATTTTCTGCAACTTTAGTTTGCCCCGGACAGTATACTTAGCGTCACCCAATTTTTGAACGATGTTTTAGGAGCACTTTGAGAAGTGCTGGCATTAACTGACGATAGCTCAATCATCAAAATTCTACGTGTTGGCAAGGGAAGCAAAATTCACGAGATAAATTTGTGAGATACATCGATCATGACATTTTATCTACATGGCTGGCCCTGCGCTGGTCCTGGCCGAAATTTGGGGACCGTTTCCAATGTTTAGAAGGTATTCAAGACCTACACAGTTATCCCTCAACTTAACAGATCGCTTGAGAAATTTTCCCGGAGCCGGTTCCAAAAAAATCACCATTTTGACCTCCAAATGACCTTTAAATCTGGTTTTTCTAACGTGATGGGGCAAAACTGACCCAGGGATTGGATTCAGGACGCCAAAATACCTAGGAATACCATGGTCTGGTCAAATAGTCCAGACTTTTTTTTTTGTAAACCTGTGTAATTTGTAATTATCGTAACTCAAAAGATGCATACATTAAAAAAACGTTACACTAAATATGTCATTAAAGGCTAGTCCATGACTACAAATAGCAAGCAAAAAACACGACATGCCAATTTTTGCAGTCACATAAGGAACTACATGTTCAGCTTACGAAAATAATTGTTTACAACCCTAAACCATATGTAATCATTTTATTGATTACTAAAGGGCGGGATAATAAACAATAGGGAGTTTTAGCAAACAGCCGCTAACCATCCGCTAACGTTACCTTAGGGATAGACTGTAATCTACTCCGTTCAATGTTTACGAAAAATGTCACAATCTAAGTTTAACGTAACGTTAGCGGAAATCTAACATACAGTTGCTAAAACTCTCTAATAATTTTTTATACCAATTTGCTTCTAAATTACAAAATAATACATACATGAAGATTACCTTATAAACTTACCATTATTAAGTGTTTATAAGTAAATAAGATTACAAAGATGTTCCTGCACCTACGCTTATGTTATATTTCAATTATTGTCAGAGGTGATTAAGTTTGCGAACGACAAACTATGCAGAACAGCGTGTTTTGAGCTGTAATTGTCGAAAAGAGTATATTTTGCAGAAAGGACCTAACCCAACTTATTCCATACAGTATGAAACTTGTGGCACTAGCGAATACAATAAAAATACACTGTACGAGGTTAGTAGGATTCATTTCTAAAGGATAATGCGGATAGATTGAAGATTTTTAATAACAAATTAACAGGAGGTGGTCTGGATTTTCACCAAGAGTAAATAAGATATGATTATTAAATAAAATATCAGAAGGTGCTAGAAGGAATAGGCTAAAAGCAAGACGTCTAGCAAATATGATTGTTGTGTTAAAAAATAAAGCATTTTAAGGGAAACGGTAGTATGTAGTAATATATAACTTTAGAATGCAACAAATTGTTTAAAGTACAAAATTAAGTAAATGAAAGAAAAGGCCAGGAAAAAATAAAATAAGGCTGACTATAAAAATAGGTTATTTAATTAGTTCAGTATATATTTTACTTCTTCTCATAAAGTAATTATTTTTTAATTTTTGTATTGTTTTGCTACTGAATAAATTCACACACAATTTAAAAGCGATTATTACAATCATAAATGCCATTGTATCATGAACTTGGCAATGATTCTGATATTAAAACAACGACAACAATCAAAATTAAGTAATACAATAATTTAAATCTGTCACTAAAATTAATTTTATTACAATAAGATATTAATAATGGAAAATTTGTCTACCAGAAATAGCTTTGTCAAATCTTTCACTCAAACTTCTCTATAAATAGTCGATCTTATAATAAACACTGTTCATATTATTAGCACAGATTTTTAATAGATGATCATCCGCTATTAGTCCATGACTCATTTGATGAATAAAACCATGAAAAGCGTACAAGAAAAAATATTTTTACTTACATTGAAACGGATGTGGAACTTGGGCCGGTCTAACTGCCACTGCCACATTTAGATTCCCCACCATTACGAAATTCAAATTTAGATTTCTAAAGTACATGAACTCTAAGTGCACTTTTCTTAGAAATAGTGTGTTTCGGTTGTCTCCAATTCTATCTGGATTGTTGGAAATAGGTTGAAATTGGACGATCCGAATTTTTTATACACAGCGTGATGATCACAACAATATTTGATTGTTATAATATGTAATATATATATATCACTCTGACAGAGGCGTGTCTTTATATCGTTGTTAACATTTTACTAATTGTAATATTCGGTAGTAATAAAATTTGTATATATCTGCAGGGTATAAAAAAAAGGTAGGTAATAAACGATTCTTGATATTCTGGAATCAAAATTAGTTGATTAGACCTAACTTACCTAGGTATATACAAAAGTGTTTACAAAAAAATGTTTATCCCTTTTTTGTGACTGTTTTCTTTCCTCATATGGAATGCTACATTTATGAAATATGGACGAGCTACATTACTTAAGAGAATGTACATTTACTTATAGAACAAATATGGAAGGAAGAAAAATGTGGCATTTGGCGGTAGGACGGATAATAATAGTGCTTGAAACTGGAGATCAACAAGAATATGTAAACTATTATAGATAAATAACATTGTTTAATACTAATTATAGCATAGGTACTGTCAACAGTAGGGGAGACCGGGGCTGGTTGTTACATTTTTAGCCATACTCTCTGTCACTCAGACGTATCATTTTATAAGTGTGTCATATACCGGGTGTTCAAATTAAAGTGTTACAGCTAAATTCCGCCTTTTATATATATATATAAAAAAAAAAAAACGTTTCAGACGAAAGTTTCATAGTTTTGTGGGGAAAAATTTTTGGCTAAAATCGTTTATTATAGCCAACCATAATGTGGCCAACTTTTGTTTCGCCCAGCAAAATTTTCAAGTAGCTGTTACTTAAAAAGTAAAAGTCCAATAAAAAAAATATTTCCATCAAAAGTTTCTTATTTTTTTTATGTACTTTAAGAATATGTAAGAAAAAAAAATGAGATTCCCATTTAAAAAAACAAAGTTCACCTCAATATGGCCATATTATGGTCAGCTATAAAAAAATGTTTCCCCTAAAAAACTATAAAACTTTTGTCTAAAACTGTTTTTTCTAAAATGCTTATTTTCGGCGGTATTTAACTGTATTTAACTTTAACTTTAATTTGAACACCCGGTATAAGGAGTCTCAAAGTTGCATCAATTACTTTTCAAACCATAAGCACAGTTCAGAAGTTCTAAAACTTGTGTTTACTAACATTTTGTATTTTTTATTCATTGTCACAGGTTTTACTTTTATCCCCCCGTTATCGGTGAAGAGAAACTACAAATAGAAAAGAGAAAAATTATATGAAAGATTCTGGGATTCTTTAAAATAGCGGATGTAGAATACATAATTAGAAATAATGAAAAGATATACAGACACTAAAAGGTAAAAATATTGGGAAGAAAATAAAAGAGGCGCGTGTAACATAGTTGGAACATGTATGAAGAGCCGATATAAGAGCAGTAACAAAGGTATCTTGGGAACCAGGAGAATAAAAACTGGCTAAAGACAGGATAAAATGGTATAGAAGTAGTAAAGAAGTAGGACAGTAGAAGATATCGGGAGTACTCCCCCAGAAATACGAATATAGAAAAAGGCGTAGTCCCACATAAAGTGCATAATGCATATATACTTACTGTGGTGCCACCACAATGTTGGCCAATAATAAATGAAGTATCTAAAATGTTGTTGACATAATATTTATAGACCTAAGCCGTGAGTCAATTTTTCCTTTCTTCAATAATATATCTCCTTCCTTCTATTTATTCTATCTGACTTAGATTAGAACGTAGTTTAAAGCTCACTCGTACTGAAGCTCTAGGCCTATTGTACCCTTCAAAAATATGTCTGATGGGCGCTTTCGCGATTTTTTCAGGTTCCGGATATTGTACCCCGAAGTACCATTCCCGTTTCCATTTAAGGTTCCGACAGTGACATGGTATGTGAATAGGAGTTTCGTCCACCTCTTCATATATTCTTCTTAGGGAGTCATCAGATATCCCTAAGATATTTAGGCGTCTTCTAAGGCTGCATTGTCCCGTAGGAAGTTCCAACTAGAGCATATATTGTTCTCTATTTATTTGTTTCTTTAATACCCATTTAACATGTTGGTATGATATACATGTGGGTTCTGGTCCAATAAGAGTTTTTTCCGCTCCCTTCCTTACTAGGAGGTCTGCTTTCTCGTTTCCAAACACTCCCTCATGTCCTAGCACCCATTCAAGGGTGACCTTGTTATGTTCTGCCAAGGCCTGGAGGGACTGTTGGCAATCAAGTATTGATTTAGATTGTACTTCTACCCTTTTCAGTACTTTAAGGGCTGCCTGACTGTCTGTCATGATAAAGACCCTCTTATCTTTAAAAGAGTCATTTAGCATGACTTTGGTGCAGGCATTTATTGCTGTTACTTCAGCCTGGAAGACTGTTTTCAGTAACCCCAGGTTCAGACTAATGGTCCTCCCTGAGTTCACATGGTAGATCCCAGCTCCTGTGCTGTTTTTCATTTTCGAACCGTCTGTATACCAGATTTATTAGTTTTGTTTTCCCTATTTTCCCGGCTTTTGGCCCTTTCTGGTATTTGAGTATCGAAAGGTTTTCTGAAGTCGAGAATAAAATGGGCTTACTATGGCATTCCTAATACCGGATTTTGTTTTAATTTATCTAATATCACTGTGTGGTGTCCCTTTCTCGAAAGTTCCCATCCAAATCCATTAGTAAACAGCCTGTATGCGGCCGCCATAACCTCCTTCTCCACCACAAGACCTAGCAGTAGCTCAATTGCTGCTGTGGGCGTAGTTCTAAATGCCCCTGTTAAAATTAGACAGGCTAGTCTTTGTACCTTGTCTAATTTTCTGTTAGCTGTTATGCTTTTAGTCTTGTGCCACCATATGACTAATGAGTTATAAAAGGTAATACAACCATAGAGTAAAGTCAGTGCATCATACTTGGTTTAAGCCCCAATATGTTCCCTACCATCCGTCTACAGACCCATAGTATTCTTACAGCTTTGTCTGTTCTTTTTTCCATGTGACTGCAGAAGCTAAGCTTGTCATCAAGAGTGATTCCAAGATATTTAACCTCTTTCACCATTTTTAGATTCTGTCCCCACATATAAAGCTCCTTCATTCCCTGAAGGTTTCTTTTTCTTGTCGGGTTTGTGGACAATCTCTATTTTTAACCGACTTCAAAAAAAGAGGAGGTTCTCAATTCGTCGAGATATATTTTTTATGTATGTTCACCGAATTCTTTAACACGGTATCCGATTTTAATAATTCTTTTTTGTTAGAAAGGAGCTACTTCAGGGGTGGTCCCATATAAATTTGGTTAAAATCTAATAATTGGGTCCATGAGAAAATTCTCAAACTCTTAATTTTTTATGTATGCTTTACCACCTTGTCCGATTTATAAGATTCTTTTTTTGTTAGTAAGGGGGTACCTCAGGGGTGGTCCCATATAAATTTGGTTAAGATGTGGTGATGGCATCTGCACGTTTTTAAAGTCGGTTTTTTTTTTTAATTTTTAATTTCTAATACTTGTATACTAGGAAAAGACTTGTGTTTTATGCGATTTTAAATATAAAAGAGGAAGTGAGGTTACGTTTCACTCGTACTTTTGGATACAACAGACCCAAATTTACCGTTTACTACGATGCTTATGTCGTCTGCAAATGCTTGCGTGTATAAGTTTTCTCTACCTAACTCTCATAAGAGATCATCAACCAGCAAGGTCCACATAAGAAGAGATAACACTCCTCCCTGTGGGCATCCCTTATTAACTGAGACCTCTCTTGTTGTATTAAGGAGATTATGGTAATGGTTCTATGAATAAGCATGAACTCAACCCACTTCGTAATGCAGTGGGCTACTCCACGCCTGTGCATAAATCCCAGTACTGAATTGTATGAAGCCGAATCAAAGGCTCCTTCTATACCTAGGAAGACTCCTGGTGCTATTTCTTTGCTTTTAAATGCTTGTTCAGCCTGTTGAGCTAGCCTATCTCCTTCCTTAATTATTTTCTATCTCAACCCTGTCATCCTATAATTGATATATCTTGTTGACCAGATAATTCTAGCTATGCCAAACTAATTAGAAAATTTAATCGCAATAGTGCTTAATAAATAGGATTTGAACAGTCTATTTTAACTCTTCTATGATAGTGATGTATTTCAGAATGAGTAAAATACTGGTAATATCCAAGAAGTATAAAAAAACAGCAAAACCCATTTCTAAGACATGGAAAAATTCTATGTAAAATATCACTAATTAATCATACAGAAATTGAATTTTATACCAACATTACCTACTTCAGGACTTAATATTGCCAAAATAGTTCTTAAGAAATATAAACCTGAGCTGGAACAGCGAAACATGTGTACACTACGAATCTATGCCTAGAAACAAGAACGACAAAGACTAACTAGGTCATGCTTTATTATTAGTTCTTTGTCATTAGATAAAATTAGGCTATTCCGGTGGCTAGTAGTATGTAAATAAGAATTAAAAAGGACATGTTGAGGCTAGTGCCTCGACCTCTCAAAACATATGGAACTGGATATTGCCTAAAATTTATTAATGCTTTGTCATATTTTTGTGAAAATACCATTATTATCTTTAGAGCAAAATTTTATTCTATACTGCGAGTTTAGCTGAAATACTACACTTGCAGTAGATATAGATGATGTACTTACTTTTCGCCGTAACAGAGTGGCTCCTTTAACCTATTCCTCAACATTTTCCCCAATCTAACCATTCTTCCTACTTCCACTATAAGTCTTTCTCTCTTACTGAAGTAATGGTCAACTCGCGTTTTCTTCTTTGCTAAATCCATCAAAGGAATAGTCGCGACTGCTTCTCGTAAATCTCTCAGTTCATTACATTGTTCTTCAACAGATCGATGGAACACAGCGGACACTCTTAATCTTGTCATCTGTTCTTGGCTTACTGTAAGGAGTTTTTGCCAGGACGTTTTTAATCTCTGGTAGAGATTGGCATGGTCGTCTAGAGGT